GCGTTGATGTCGTCGTCGTCCCGAGCGTCGTCGTCGTCGTCCCGCGCGTTGACGTTGGAAAGCTTAGGGACCGGAAAGCGGACAGCGCGTCGCGGCGAAGCGTGGTGGGCCAGAGCCTGCGGAGCGGCACGCTGCCCAGGCGTTCCCGGCCGTAAGGGGGGGGGGGGGGGGGGGGGCGATCCGCGGCGGGGCGAAGACGCGCGCGCCTTTCTTGCCCCTTCTGGGCCCGAGGATGAGGAGGAGGGGGGGGAGGAGGGGGAGGGGAGGGGGAGGGGGAGGAGGAGGAGGAGGAGGAGGAGGAGGAGGAGGAGGAGGAGGAGGAGGAGGAGGAGGAGGAGGAGGAGGAGGAGGAGGAGGAGGAGGGGGCGGAGGAGGGGGCGGAGGAGGGGAGGAGGAGGAGGAGGAGGAGGAGGAGGAGGAGGAGGAGGAGGAGGAGGAGGAGGAGGAGGAGGAGGAGGAGGAGGAGGAGGAGATGATGTACGACGAAGAGGAGGACGACGACGAGGAGGAGCAAGAGGAGGAGGACGACGAGGAGGACGAGGAGGAGGAGGACTTGCGGCATTTCAGGTGCGAACGAGGTGGCGCGACCTTCTTCACCGCGCCCCTGTCTTGCCCCCCCCTTACGCAAAGCCCGGCTCAGTTGGGGGCGAATTGATGGGGGGCGATACTTAGGGTGGGAAGCAATGTGCCCTTCTCGGGCCCCATTTGGGGCCCTACGTAGGCCCCTGGGGGTCCTGAAGGGCTTCTTTTCTGAAGCCCTCGCTGCCCCCCATTTATCGCGCCCCCCCGATGCGCGGCCTCCAGCTCGGAAGGCTCAGAAGTCCTCCGGCCTTCTGGGGAGCTCTCTCGGCCTTCACCGAGGCCGCTGCGAGCGCTTCTCTCGGAAGGCTGGGGGAGGGGTGCTTCCGAGAAGGGCCCCCTCCCGCCTCCCGAGCGGCCTCGCCCCGTCTGGCTTCCCTCCTCGGCGCGCCGCCGAGTCAAGGGAAAGGGGGGAGGGCGCGGCAGAGGCCGCGGACCTGCGGGGGGCCAGGGGGCGAGGAGCAGGGGGCGGCTCCTCCTCCGGCAGCCCCGTCCTCGTCCTCCTCCTCCTCGTCCTGCTCCTGCTCGTCCCCGCCGTCGTCGCCATCCTGCTCCTCATCCCTGCTCCTACTCTCTCTCTCTCTCTTTCACTCCGTATCCCTGTCTCTCTCTCTCTCTCTCGCTCTCGGCCATGGTGTCGTGACCCCCCAGGGCAGGTCGGCCCTGAGGGGGGGGGGATCAAACAGTACTTTGCCTCGCGACCGACTGGTCGGGGCGTAGGAGCAAAAGAAAAAGCAACGGAACGCAGAGCGCGAGCAAGGAGAGGAGGCCTCGTCAAAACCTGCAGAGGAGGAGGGGACGAGCGGGGGCGCTGCAGTCTCGGCGATGTCGGTGGCGGCGCGCGGCGTGGCGAGGCCAAGGTCTACTCCTGGTTCGTGGTTCCTGGTGGTTGAAGAGGTCCATGATCGCAGTCTCCCAGGTCTCTTTCTCCTCCTCCTCCTCCTCCACCTCCTCCTCCCCTTTCTTTCTGCATTAGGCAAACATGAGCGACAAGGCTGCTGCGCTCTCCTTAGCAAAAAGCAGAAAGTGCACAACCAGTCAAATGCGCCCTATGTAGACTAAGCGGCTGGGGAAGTGCGAAGAGGCACAACGCAGTGAAGAAGCCTGCGAGGGCGTAGAGTATTAGATCTGCACGGGTCGGCAAGGAAGTCCCCTCCCACCCCGCCCAACTCCACAAGCCGATCCTTCCCGTGACAAGGGCCTTCGCCGAGGGCAGGTCTAACCCTCACCGAGGGCAGCCGACAAGCAACTTCTGAGATGCCCTCACCGAGGGAGAATGTGCTTGCCGGGTGCGCTGCGCCCCCCTCCTCCGCTGTGCCCCCCCCCACCCCCACCCCCGCCGCCTCCACACGCCCCGCTGCCCTCACCGAGCGCCGGGCGGTCGGCTCGCTCGTGGCGGCCGCCTCGCTTGGCATCTCGCTGCCCAGATGTGGCAAGCGCTGGGGCTGCTCAGCTGTCCTCGTCATCCGTTTAGCCGCCCCCCCGTCTCTCTCCTCCTGGGCCCTCGTCGAGGGTCGGGCCTCGGCCGGTGGTGGCCCGCCGCAGACGGTGCCCCTTCCCGCCCCTGGGCTCCGTGACAAGCCCTGCCGCCCTCACGACGATAAAGATGAGAAGGATGACGAAAGTGCAGCACTAGGAGTGGAAACTGTGGTGTGAAAAAGATGCCTCCTCGCCGAGGCTCTTGCAGAAAAGTGCCCTCGCCGAGAGTCCTGGGTACAGTGCGTGACGCACTCCTCCTCCGCGAGCCTTCCGCTACATTCTCCAATCACCACCTCCGCCTCCTCCATACTGCCCTCACAGAGGGTCCCGCACAAGAGAAATTCATTCTCGGGTCTGCCGCTGGCGGTCGACACGGTCAGTAGTGTAGCGTTGGCGGTCGACACGCTCACCACTCCCTTACGCCAAGATCCCTCCACACGTCACATCCATTCGTACCCTGACAACCACCTCGACCCACCACTACCAAAGTCATACGTATCAAATCTGGTGATGGCGGCTAGAGGCTGGCCCAGTCTGTGCTGGCCCATGATAAAATTATGATCCTCCTCCTCCCTCCTCCTTTTCATGATCCAAACTCCCCTCCGCCTCGTCAAGGTCTCCATACGGGGTAAATGCTACGAGTGCGAAGTGACACGTTTGAGATACTCGGCTGAACGTGTCGAGTCAAAGGTAAACTGGATAGTACTAGAGGCATTTCGTGCGATATTCGGGGCTGAGCGGTACAAGGCCGAAAATGGTGCAACTTCCACGTGAACGGTGGCTGGTGTGACAGCTAGTGAGGCGCTGCTGCGCTCTGGTCCATGCTGCTCAATACACGGCTGCACCCTGGGTAGATATTTTCTCCGCCTCCACAGATATCCGCTCCTTTCCCATCCCCCAACCTCATACTCCTCAGAAGCAGCCGAGCGCGACAGGGCATAGCAAAGGTAGCACGATCGCGCGTGCACGCGCGAGGTAAACAACTCATCAAGCTCCACCCCACATGTAGGACTGAAACTGGGAATATGCGCAGTATCCCAAAAATTGTGTTGTCCAGCAAGCGGCCTGATCTCTTGAGTCCCGTCCTGACCATGGAACAACAACTTCAATACTGAACATCCTTTGATTGCGAGCGCTAAGAATGTGCGTCTTATGGCGTAGTTCTCTTCTCGCGTTGGGCCTGATGTTGTATTCCAATGCATGCCAATTTGATTGGACTGTAACTTCGACCATTGGGGATCGCGCTGGTGATAGCAAGATTGCTGATTCTTGTTACGTAAATAATTGTGCTGGCAGCTTGGATCAACAGAATCATAATGTTGTTGGGGACTGTACTTCAAATTAAACAAAATATGATGATAGCATTGCCAACTTACATGATGATGCTTGTACTGCTTACGAGTGTGCTCCCAGTTGTTGTCTTTCTCTCCATGTGTTTGATTATATATCTCATCGTCGAGTCGGCGCATGATCGGCAACACGATGGCCGTCGCATGTCGCCTGTACGGTATGGGGAGCGGCGGCGAGGTAGGCCTGGCGATGGCCTGCGCGCTGCTCTCTACGCGCCCAGAACGCTTGGGAAGTCAAAATTTCCTCCTCCTCCCGCTCCATCCACTTACGCCCTATACCGACCCCCGGCCCCTCTAATATTCTCCTGCTCCTCCCTTTTCCCCCCCGCCTCCTCCCTTAGCCCACCCCCAGCACCCTCTACCTCTCCCTCTTTCTTCTCCGCTGCTCCACCTCGTCGACCTGTTACCCCCATCCTCCAGAACCTCTCACGGCCCAGAACCCATCCGCTGGGACTGAACCCCTGGTACCCTCGCCCTGTAACCCTCTCCTCGTCATGCCCCCCCTCCTCTGCCTCTTCCTCGTCATCCTCCTCCGCTGCCCCCTCATCCGCCCCACGACGACGACGACGACAAGGGCAACGGCGACGGCGGCGACGACGACGACACGAGTGCGATGGGCAAGAGGACCGTGGACAGGGCGCGCCTGAGGCGCAGCCTGCTGGACCGGCTGCTGCACGTACTGGACCTGCGGCACCGGCTGCTGGACGTACTGCACCTGGCCGCGCGCGCCGGCGCCGCCATCGCAGGACGAGGGGGACGCAGACGAGGTCCTCTGGGAGGTCTTCGCAACGGCGATACAGATGAGAGAACAGCGCGCGCTCAAGCCCGCAGGGTGGAGGAGTGGGACAAGGGTCGGGCGATGAAGGCGCGACAGGCGTGGGCGCGAGTTGTCAAACCCCAATGGGGGCTCGCGTTCGAGCAGGGACTCCCATCCGACAGCACACACACACACACACCCATAGCCCTCCCCCAAAAGTTCACCCCGAGAGATCTAGGCGTCGCATAGGTCTGGCGGCTAGTCGTCAGCTCATGGGATGCAGGCTGTTCGATGCGATTCAGTTGCCATGAAGGTTGGTGAACAGATAAAAGATCATGGAGTAAGCCTGAGTGGGCCAGCAAGGCCAATAAGCACAAATCAACGGGATGAAGAAGGATTGTGCTGGATCGGGCTGGTTTTTGACCACGGAAGTGCCCGCGCCGATGCTGAAGTTAACCTCCCAGGAGTTGCACCCTAAGGAGGGAGGAAGATGAGTACAGTCGAACGCGGCGGCCGCAAGAAGCCCTCGCAAGAAATCCAATCATGAACATCCGCGCGCGAGGTGCAACCTGGGGAAGACCCAAGGCAACCTGAAAATACAGCAATTTCTTAGCGCCCACGGGAAGTCAGCGCGCAGAGCGCGTAGCGAAGAAACCCAAGGTGCCCTTACGAAGAGCGTATGGCTTCTTGATGGGCGTCCACACTGTAGGCTGTAGGCGGAGGGAGACAACGGGACATATTCTGCTTTTCGGATTTTTGTTTGAATGTTCAGCTGTCTCGTGGAAATATTGGGAAGGAGACGGGTGTAGAAATGGGTGCTGGGATGGGTGAACACATGGGTGCACGAATGAAGCGCGCCGCGCTCGATTACGATTCCATGTTCGCGCTTGCAGTTGCATGCTTGCCCGTCTTCGTTCGACCTTGGTCATGCTGCTCAAGTTTTCGTCCGGTTTGCGCACCCCGCTTTGCCTGCCCCCTGCCAGCCTCAAGTCGGGCGTGTCCCCCTACAGGGGGGATTTTGGGCGAAAAATAAAGACTACTAACAAATGCCCCCCAAATGGGCAAAAATAGTAACAAAAAATGTCCCCAGACTATTGTTTGACTGTTTTTGAATATTCCTCCTGTAGAGGGACAGGCCCGATTTAATGCCAGCCCTCCCCCCCCCCTAGGGGGGGGGGCGGGCGGCATGTACGGGGCAGGGGGGGCGGAAAGGGGCGAGACGGAGCGGCGGGGAGAGGGCGCAACCACGGGGATGACCAGGAGGAGCAGCGGTAGCAACACGACGGGGGAGGGGCCGGCTGGAATGCGGAGGAGCGCGACGACGGTGGCGAGGAGGGCGAGGAGAATGAGGGCGAGCAGGATGACGAGGACGAAGAGGAGGACGACGGGGAGGGAGGATGAGAAGTGAGGGAGAAGGAGGGAGGAAAACGAGGAGGAGGAGGAAGGGAGGGAGAAAGGAGGGATGAGGTCTTCGGGGCAGAGGGATGAAGGGGGAGAGCGCAAGGGGGACGGAGGAGGGGGCGGGGAACGGGGGCCGAGCGGAGCGCGTTGCGGAGTGCGAGCGCCGGCTGCACGATTGGACGGGAAGTCCAAGGCTTCGCCTTACAGTCGGACTTCATTGGACAGGACACGCGAGAGGACACAAGGCCCTTCCGAGGGCCACATCGCCACAGGAGTGTTAAGAAGGCACGTGTCGCGAGGCACAGGACACAAGGGTACCCTTGAGCTGGCAGGGTCGACCTACTCATCCGGGCCGACTGCATACTGTGCCGTGCCATATATATATATATATATATATGACACGCTGGCGCAGCGTGGTTCGGAGGTGCCCCGTTCGGCGTGCGAGGCCCGGTTCAGCGTCATGGGGGGCGGAGCTGTGCCAGCGAGGGCCGTGCAACCTCGGACTTGTACCCCCAATCAAGTCTTACTTGAGCGGAATGGAGTAGCGGTTCCGAAACGGCAAGCCGCATGGAGCTTCCCCAGTTAAAAACAACTAGGACCAAGCTCCCAAGTCGGTTCCAAACAGCAGAAGTCGGTTCCAAACCATAGAACAATGGGCGTCTCGTCAGGGACTTCCTCGAAAAACAGGCCCGAACCAGGTTCCAAAGTCGGGTCCAGGGCGTCTCGTGCGGGACGTCCTCGAACAGCAGGTTCGAACCAGGTTCCAAAGCCGGGCCCAGTGAACACGGCCGCATTCACAGTCAATCCACCGTGAACACGGCCGCGTTCATGGCCAGCTCGCCGTGAACACGGCCGTGTTCACGATGGTTGGTTGTCTGCAAAAACCAATGAAAAAATGTTTGCGGGCGTCGCCAACGTGCGTGAACACCACCGTGATCACAGTGATTTCATTGAGAAACCAAATGCAAGACTATGTTCTTGGGCGTCACCCGCATGCGTGGATCCGTGCTCACGGCCAGCCCGCCGTGAACGCTGCCGTGCTCACGGCTTTTACGAACTGGCGAAAGGGGGCGGAGGGGGTGGGGGCAGCATGTTTTCCTCGCCCCAATGGGAACTCCGGAAAGGGGGGGTGCGCGTTTTTCCCGCCCCAGAGGTACGTCCGAACTGGTGAACAAGTTGGTGTGCGGAGGGGTGCGCTGTACGCTTATTGGAACGAACCCTGCTCGCGCGCATCCTGCCGAGCTCCCTTACGCTCGGGCACCTATCCGTTCACCCAGTCGGAGCTACTCTTCGGGCGGGACAAGACGCGTACCCCCCGCCCAGAGCTGCCTGTGGGGCGAAGAAGAGAACGCTGCTACCACCCTACCCCCCCCTCACCAATCCGGAAGAAACCCAAATACGCTCGCGTTCATGGCGGACTGGCCGTGAACACGGCCGTGTTCACGCGTGCGGGCGACGCCGAAAAACATTGACTTTTCATTCACTCTTCAACAGAAATCAACATGATCACGGCCATGTTCACGGTGGGCTGGCTTTGAACATCACCGTGTTCACGGTGGGCTGGCCGTGAGAACGGCCGTGTTCACGCAAAGTTGCGACGCCCACGCACCGTGATTTTTTAGGTGTTTCCCATGGGAATCACTGTGAACACGGCCGTGTTCACGGCGGGCTGGCCGTGAACACGGATCGGCCTTGAACGCGGCCGTGTTCACGGTGGGTTGGCCGTAAACACGGTCGTGTTCACGCATACGGGCGACGCCCAGGAATCCAGGAGCATTGATTGCCATTGGCCTTTTTCAAACAAGTCACAGTAAGCACGGCCGTGTTCACGGCGAGCTGGCCGCGAACGCGGCCGTGATCACGGCGGATTGGCCGTGAACGCGGCCGTGTTCACGCATACTGGCAAGGCCAAAAAACGCTGATGTTCTATTCGATTTTTCAAAGACGTCACCGTGAACACGGCCGTGCTCACAGCGGGCTGGCCGTGAACATGGCCGTGTTCATGGCCAAAAGCGTTGCCTTCTCTGCCTCCTCCTCTGCCTCCACCTCCTCCACCTCCTCCTCCCTCTACATTCTCATCCTCTGCCTCCTCGTAGAAGGCGAAGCACTCGATTCCTCATCAAGCATTGTAGCTGGCTCTCGCATTCTGAAACGGGCTCCGCGACGCCCTACTCCCGGCTCCCTCCTCCGTCCCCCTTGATCTCTCCCCCTCCTCCCCGACCCTTGTCCTCCTCATCCTTCCTTTCTCCATCCCTCTCTCCTCTTCCTCCTCCTTCCCATTTTTCCTCACTCCTCCTTCTCCCTCATTTCCCGTCCTCTCCTGCCTCGTCCTCCTACTAGTTATTTCTGGTCATCCTGCTCGTCATCATTATCGTCGCCCTCCTTGCCATCGTCATCGCACTCCTCCGTATTCTAGCCCCCCCCGTGTTGCTGCTATTGCTGCTCCTCCTCATCATCCCCATGGTTGCGCCCTCTCCCCGCCGCTCCGTTTCGCCCGTTCCGCCTCCCTTGCTCCGTTCATGCCGCCAGCCTCGCCCGGGGGGAGAAGAAGGTTGACAGGGGGCAGGCGAAGGGGGGTGCGAAATCTGGACGAAGAAATTAGCAGCGCGCCCAAGGTCGAACGAACGCTGGCAAACCAAAACAATTACAAACGCACAAGTTGATCTGTAACGATCACGGTGCGCTTCATTCATGCACCCATGTTTTCCTCCATCTGGGCACCCATCTCCTTACCCGTACATGACTGACCTAATCCCCACGACCAAAGTCGGCGTACAAGGAATGTTCATTCCGCCGAGACCCTCACCACAGGCTGGAGAACATTGAGAGGATGGTTCGCTCCTGGCAGAACAGACGAGGACAACGACGCTAATGCACCCCCTGGCACGAATGGAGGACTCGCCCCGCGCTGGGCACTGCGCTTCGCGGCCTCGTGCGCGGTGCGGCTCCAGCGAGAGTGGGCGCGGTTTGGAGGCCGGGAGGAGGAGGAGGAGGAGGAGGAGGAGGAGGAGGAGGAGGAGGGAGGAGGAGGGAGGAGGAGGAGGAGGAGGAGGAGGAGAGGAGGAGGAGGAGGAGGAGGAGGAGGAGGAGAGGAGGAGGATGGATGAGGAGGAGGAGGAGGAGGAGGAGGAGAAGGAGGAGGACAAGGATGAGGAGGAGGAGGAGGAGGAGGAGGAGTGGGAGGAGGAGTGGGAGGAGGAGGAGTGGGAGGAGGATTGGGAGGAGGAGTGGGAGGAGGAGGAGGAGGATGAGGAGGAGAAGGAGGAGGAGGAGGAGGAGGAGAAGGAGGAGGGGGTCAGAACTGGTTGGCACCCCAGAAAATCGGTCGGGAGGAGGGAAGACGCCGAAGCCGCTCAGACTGGCACAGAACCTCCCCGAAGCCAGAACCTCGAACCTGCCCCGCCTTTCCTGCCAGCCACAGCCAGCGCTTGGCCACCTCGGACCCCCAGCCGGCTCCAAGGCGCAGTGCTGCGTGGTGGCCCCAGCAGCAGCAGCAGCAGCAGCAGCAGCAGCAGCAGCAGCAGCAGCAGCAGCAGCAGCAGCACGACGAAGCCGCCCTCGGCGGCGACGACGACGGCGGCGACGCGACGCCACGACGGCGATGGCAGCGCGAGGGTCACAAGCGCCTGCTGGACCGGCTGCTGCCCCGGCTGCACGTACTGCACATACTGGACCTGCTGCCCAGGCAGCGCCTCGGCAAGGAGGGGGGAGGGGGGAGGATGGGGGAGGGGGAGGGCGAAGGGACGGGGGGGGGGAGGAGGGAGGGCGGGAGGGGGACGGGATGCTGCTCTTTGTCGTCGTTCCCGACAGCGGTCGTTGCCCGAGGGGGGGGGGAAACATGGTGGGGGCCCGGGGTAACGGTAACGCTTGGGCGGCGGGGTGGGGCGCGGCGGGGCGGGGGCGCCCTGCGGTCGCCATGGTTCGCGCGCGCGCCAGCATGTTGGGGTGGGGGTCCAAGCCCCCCCCCCTCGTACGAGCGTTGCCGTTGCCCAGAGAGGGGGTGGGGAGGGGCTTGGCCCAGGTAGCGACAGCTACACCTGCCAGATGGCACAGCAGAGCGACGAACGAGATCCGGGGAGGCAGTGGGAAGAGGGAGAAAAGAATTAGGAGTGGGGGGGTCATATCACATCTGGCATCCGATGCCACGACAATGGACACTCTAACAATCCGACCATTGATTTAAAAGTGTGTTTAAACTATGTGAAACATGTCCTAAACATGTTTCAAACCTTTTTACATAGTTAAAACATGTTTGAAACATTTTTTGAGACATCTGGAAATTACTTGGCAGCATGCTTCCTCGCCGTTAATCATCCTCCACAAGCCCATCCCCTGCCGTTGCGATGGGCGCCCCGTGGTGGCAGAGCCGAGGGTCGAGTACGACATGGTCCCCCGAGAGAGCGGCTTTGTCGAAGACGACCGCGGTCACCAAGAGCTGGGAGGGGCATGGAAGAGGCAGAAGAGAACTTCCAAGGGCATGAAAGACACGGAGGGGGAGAAGAGGGAGGAGGAAGCAGGACCGAGGCGGGAAGAGGTCGGTCTGACGACGGCGACGGATAAGGAAAGGAGGTGCGAGGACACAGGGACGAGGAGGGGGGTGCGTAGTAGGAGTAGGAGGAGGAACAAGAAGAGGAGAAGGAACATGACGAGCACGGACAGGAAGGGAGGAATAAGAGCAGACCCCCTGCAGGGCCTGCAGGCCCAACGAAAGCTGGCCGAAACCTCGTCGCGTCCTTCGCAAACATTCGTCGCGACACCTAGTAGGGGTATGCTATATCATTAGAGGCACAACACAATCAAGTGTCACACAAGTGAACGCACACTGCACCATCATGCGCCAACAGCAAAGCGCAACGCGGATGCGTAACCCGCATCAACGACTCAGAACTTCCCCCTCCGTCCGGTGAAACGATAACGCACCAAGCACCCTGAAGCGTTAACCTGGCACCCTGGCACTTGACCGTTACTTAGCAGTGATCTGGGGACCCCAACAATCCTCGAAAATGGCGACAAATTCAAAGTTCGCAACCCACAGGAATGGCGAGGTTCCGCTATGATCTGCGTAGCACCGCACTGAGATGGCCCCGTCAACACTACGACGAATACTACTACTACTATTACTACTACTATACTACTACTACTACTACTACTACTACTACTACTACTACTACTACGACGAATACTACTACTACTATTACTACTACTACTACTACTACTACTACTACTACTACTACTACTACTACTACGACTACTACTACGACTACTACTACGAAAACTACTACTACTACTACTACCACTACTACTACTACTACTACTACTACTACTACTACTACTACTACTACTACTACGACTACGACTACTACTACTACTACTACTACTACTACTGCTGCTACTACTACTGTACTAGTACTACTACTAGACTACTACTAGACGACTACTACTACTACTACTACTACTACTACTACTACTACTACTACTACTACTACTATACTACTACTCTACTACTACTACTACGACCACTACTACTACTACTACTACTACTACTACTACTACTTACTACTACTAGTTCTACTACTACTACTACTACTACTACTACTACTACTACTAGTTCTACTACTACTACTACTACTACTACTACTACCATTACTACTACTACGACTACAACGGCGACGACGATGACGACGCCGACGGTACTACTCGACGACCACCACCACTACCACCACGACTAGCAGTACTACTACTACTACTACTACTACTACTACTACTACTACTACGACAACAACAACAAGTACTACTGCTGCTACTACTACTACTGCTACTACTACTACTACTACCACTAGTATCTACTACTGCGACTACTACTACTACGACGACGACAACGACTACTACTACTACTACTACTACTACTACTGCTACCACTCCTGCTGCTACTACTACTGCTACGACTTCTTCTTCTACTACTACTACTACTACTGCTGCTGCTACTACTACTACTACTACTACTACGTCTACTTCTACTACAACAACAGCTACTACTACTACTACTACTACTACTACTACTACTACTACTACTACTACCACCACGACTACGACTACGACTACTCGACGACCACGACCACGACCACGACCACGACCACGACGACGACGACGACGACGACGACGACGACGACGACGACGACGACGACGACGACGACGACGACGAAAACGACGACGACGACGACGACGACGACTACTACTACTACTACTGCTACTACTACTACTACTACTACTACTACTACTACTACTACTACTACTACTACTACTACTACTACTACTACTACGACTACTACTACGACTACGACTACGACTACGACTACGACTACGACTACGACTACTACTACTACTACTACTACTACTACTACTACTACTACGACTACTACTACTACTACTACTACTACTACTACTACTACTACCACTACTACTACCACTACTACTATCTAGTGCTAAGATCATGCTTTGTGCTGGGCGTGGGCGATACCCTGGGGTGGACCAGCCCCTAGGACGGCCGACAACATCAATTTCCCACTGGGGATTGCAATAAGAATCGTATCGGACACGGTCGGTGATGAGAAAGAGAAAAGGATGAGGAAGGAGGGGCGGTGAGGAAGAAAGGGAAAAAGGAGAAGGAGATGGTGGAGGAGGAGGAGGAGGAGGGAGGACTCCATAACTGGCGGTCGAAGAGAGAGGCAACACTTACGGTCGAAAGAAATGAGAGGAGGAGTAATTGCGGTCGAAGGGGGAGGCACTAGTTATTGTGGTGCGGTGCTGAAGATATCGCTTCGCAGCATCCCCCCCCCCATGCACTATGTATTTTTGTGTCGGTGCTAACGAGAACACAACGGGGTGTCTTAATCGTTCCCCCGGGTTATATAATGCAGCGCGGTGTGACCCATCATGGCACAACGAAGCAAATGCACAACCTGACCTGCCACTATACACACGTAAAGCAGAAGGTATTACAGGATAGCGTACCAAACTTTGGACACCATGCCGGCCCAAACCATGCCATCGCAGAGTTCAGCATAGCACGTGACCGCGTACAACAACACCGTACGGTCTGAATGGGCTGACAACATTCTTCAAGACGCCCGTGGGTCTTAATCTCCCTCCCCCGCTGCTTCACTCAGATAATTGTCAACGCTGATCGCAGGTGCCGCGTAGCTATGGGACGTTGCAGGCATGGCATCATTGCCACAGGGCGGGCGCAAGTAGGAAGCGACTGCTACAACTAAGACATATGATGACGTCAGTGCCTCAAGCAGGGTGTAAGCCCGACCTTGTAAGTTGAAGTGGGCACCTATGACCAGGGATCCCGAATCCGTCTGGCGACAAATAGTCCGACGAAACTGGAATCTCGAATGCATCACTGGGTGGACTACCACCAGACGGCTTGCCTCGATTATGCATCGCGAGGAAGTATATTTGATCTCCTCGCTGGGTGTGCACGCGGGCGCCAGAACCCTCGATCCGATCGGCGTAACACTACCATCTTGGACGAATCACGGAAGTCATGCGCATACTCACGTCCCACTCCTGTTGAAATCGTGGCTGATCGCTTACTGCTCATCGCGATCGGAAACTCTGGAACGTCCGCGCACCCTGGAGAACATTCCCTAATATGCCTCACCTGGTACTACATTCGATGGAACAAAAAATATCCAGCAAAAATCCCCGGACCCCCCCCAGACAACTTGGAAAATCCCTCCAAGATGAATATCAGAAGCGTCCCAGCATGTGATTGTGGCTAGCACTCGAGCGGCAGCACAGCACCCACGTGGGGATGTGGCCGGCGCTCAGGCGAGAGCCTCACGTCTCATGATGAGGGATGTGGCCAGCGCGCAGGCGACAGGACCAATCCCAGACGAGGATGTAGCCAGAACTCGGGCGAGAGCACCATTCCCAATCACGGATGTGGCTGGCACTCGAGCGGCAACACCATACGAACCCAATAAAAGGTGTGGCTGGCGTTAAAGCGAGAGTACCGTTCCCAGTGACGGACGTGGCCAGCGCGCAGTGCTGCGAGGATGTCTCAGGTGGAACTGGCCAGACCAGCTCTCGCGCAGCATCTCCGAACCCAGAGTTGTGAAAATGTCTCAGAAGGAACGGTCCGGACCATCAGGTCAGGGCATCTTTGTGCCCAGAGTTGCGAGGATGTCTCAGTCGAAACTGGCTGGAAAATGTCACGCGGCATCTCTGATCTCAGAGTTGCGAGAATGTCTCTGGCGAAACTGGCTGGACCACCTCGCGCGCTGCATCTCCGAGCCCAGAAATGCGGGGACGCCGGCATCTCCGAACCCAGAGTTGGGAGGACGTCTCTGGCGAAACTGGCCGGACCACCCCCGATGTTGGCGGATGTCTCTGAGCGCTGGCACCTTGGCAAGAACTCGCTTCTACCGGGACCCCAGTCAGCGCACCTGTTTGGGGAAGCGCGATTAAGGAGGGCGTGCGAACGAGAGCGGAAGGGGGAGACGAGAAACGAGGAACGGACGGGATGGGAAGGAAGACAGAGAGGTGACATGTCATGACATTTCCAGCTGGGCTTCCCTGGTTGTGTCATGCTTTTAATGGTATGTATGTTAATGACATGTGCACGTGCTGGCAAGACAACGCGGCTCGGACAACCCCTTGGACAATCCCGCAAAGGTCTGGATCTCCCGGACACGACCCTTGGACAAGACTCCCCAGGATTTTTTTCCAGTAGATCAGACCAAAAGATCGCGGAAGGCTCCAGTGCATGCAAGGCTGACCTCGGCAGGACACTGATTTACCATGCAGCCGATTGGTGTCCAATCTGAATTGTGCTTCGCGGCGCACGCTTGGCAGCTCTTTCCAGTACCTTCGCAAGTCGAGTGGATCAGACTACCGCACTGGTCGCAATGTGCTCCTGGTGTTGGGGAAGGGGATGGGTGAGGCGACGGAGGGGATGGACCAGGCGAGGGGCCGCTTCCACCACATGTTGACGCGTCCGTGGTGCACGCAGGGTTGAACTTGCCTCCCTGGAGCCTGCGACTGTGATTGCTTGGCGCGTCGCCTTGGGAGCTGCAATCGTTTGGGTTGCTCAGCCCCATGTCCAATTGGATTCCCCAGCCCGTAGGATCGAATATGGTCGCAAGACCGCCTCCTCCTGGTGGAAATTCAGCGGCACCAAAACTACTACAAACGTGGGGCGGGTTCTTCTTGTTGACGTAATCGAGGATTTTTGAGCTGTCTGCAGATTGGCTGTCGATAGCATAATGGTTGTCGAACCATTTGTCAACCGCACAATACGGATGACCAGAGAGAAGGTTGGAGTGCACTGTGTTGAGCATATCCTCGAAATTGCCGACTTTCCAATCGCCTGACGTTGCACTGTCTGGGCGATTAGTGAAGCAAAGGTTTCCAGTCGCTCCCGGCCAC